GTATCTGAGTGGCTTAAAAGTACAAGAAAACACTTCAAAAGTGACGTTTCTGAAGAATTTTAACAGTTTTCTTGTATCTACGAACGCCAGAATGCATAAAATTGACCTAAACGTCTCCTTTTCCTATTCTGAGTCGATTCTGCATGCTTTAAGTGTGTTTGGTGGCTCAGAACCATCAAAAAACGTTGAAATATAGTTCAAATTCAATAAAAATCGACAAAAATACAGTTTCTAGCTAAAATTTGTTGGTTTCGTTGCACTTTCCGAGCCCGTTGGGTATCTGAGTGGCTTAAAAGTACAAGAAAACACTTCAAAAGTGACGTTTCTGAAGAATTTTAACAGTTTTCTTGTATCTACGAACGCCAGAATGCATAAAATTGACCTAAACGTCTCCTTTTCCTATTCTGAGTCGATTCTGCATGCTTTAAGTGTGTTTGGTGGCTCAGAACCATCAAAAAACGTTGAAATGTAGTTCAAATTCAATAAAAATCGACAAAAATACAGTTTCTAGCTAAAATTTGATGGTTTCGTTGCACTTTCCGAGCCCGTAGGGTATCTGAGTGGCTTAAAAGTACAAGAAAACACTTCAAAAGTGACGTTTCTGAAGAATTTTAACAGTTTTCTTGTATCTACGAACGCCAGAATGCATAAAATTGACCTAAACGTCTCCTTTTCCTATTCTGAGTCGATTCTGCATGCTTTAAGTGTGTTTGGTGGCTCAGAACCATCAAAAAACGTTGAAATATAGTTCAAATTCAATAAAAATCGACAAAAATACAGTTTCTAGCTAAAATTTGATGGTTTCGTTGCACTTTCCGAGCCCGTAGGGTATCTGAGTGGCTTAAATGTACAAGAAAACACTTCAAAAGTGACGTTTCTGAAGAATTTTAACAGTTTTCTTGTATCTACGAACGCCAGAATGCATAAAATTGACCTAAACGTCTCCTTTTCCTATTCTGAGTCGATTCTGCATGCTTTAAGTGTGTTTGGTGGCTCAGAACCATCAAAAAACGTTGAAATATAGTTCAAATTCAATAAAAATCGACAAAAATACAGTTTCTAGCTAAAATTTGATGGTTTCGTTGCACTTTCCGAGCCCGTTGGGTATCTGAGTGGCTTAAAAGTACAAGAAAACACTTCAAAAGTGACGTTTCTGAAGAATTTTAACAGTTTTCTTGTATCTACGAACGCCAGAATGCACAAAATTGACCTAAACGTCTCCTTTTCCTATTCTGAGTCGATTCTGCATGCTTTAAGTGTGTTTGGTGGCTCAGAACCATCAAAAAACGTTGAAATATAGTTCAAATTCAATAAAAATCGACAAAAATACAGTTTCTAGCTAAAATTTGATGGTTTCGTTGCACTTTCCGAGCCCGTAGGGTATCTGAGTGGCTTAAAAGTACAAGACAACACTTCAAAAGTGACGTTTCTGAAGAATTTTAACAGCTTTCTTGTATCAACGAACGCCAGAATGCATAAAATTGACCTAAACGTCTCCTTTTCCTATTCTGACTCGATTCTGCATGCTTTAAGTGTGTTTGGTGGCTCAGAACCATCAAAAAACGTTGAAATATAGTTCAAATTCAATAAAAATCTACAAAAATACAGTTTCTAGCTAAAATTTGATGGTTTCGTTGCACTTTCCGAGCCCGTAGGGTATCTGAGTGGCTTAAAAGTACAAGAAAATACTTCAAAAGTGACGTTTCTGAAGAATTTTGACAGTTTTCTTGTATCTACGAACGCCAGAATGCATAAAATTGACCTAAACGTCTCCTTTTCCTATTCTGAGTCGATTCTGCATGCTTTAAGTGTGTTTGGTGGCTCAGAACCATCAAAAAACGTTGAAATATAGTTCAAATTCAATAAAAATCGACAAAAATACAGTTTCTAGCTAAAATTTGATGGTTTCGTTGCACTTTCCGAGCCCGTAGGGTATCTGAGTGGCTTAAAAGTACAAGAAAATACTTCAAAAGTGACGTTTCTGAAGAATTTTGACAGTTTTCTTGTATCTACGAACGCCAGAATGCATAAAATTGACCTAAACGTCTCCTTTTCCTATTCTGAGTCGATTCTGCATGCTTTAAGTGTGTTTGGTGGCTCAGAACCATCAAAAAACGTTGAAATATAGTTCAAATTCAATAAAAATCGACAAAAATACAGTTTCTAGCTAAAATTTGATGGTTTCGTTGCACTTTCCGAGCCCGTAGGGTATCTGAGTGGCTTAAAAGTACAAGAAAACACTTCAAAAGTGACGTTTCTGAAGAATTTTAACAGTTTTCTTGTATCTACGAACGCCAGAAAGCATAAAATTGACCTAAACGTCTCCTTTTCCTATTCTGAGTCGATTCTGCATGCTTTAAGTGTGTTTGGTGGCTCAGAACCATCAAAAAACGTTGAAATATAGTTCAAATTCAATAAAAATCGACAAAAATACAGTTTCTAGCTAAAATTTGATGGTTTCGTTGCACTTTCCGAGCCCGTAGGGTATCTGAGTGGCTTAAAAGTACAAGAAAACACTTCAAAAGTGACGATTCTGAAGAATTTTAACAGTTTTCTTGTATCTACGAACGCCAGAATGCATAAAATTGACCTAAACGTCTCCTTTTCCTATTCTGAGTCGATTCTGCATGCTTTAAGTGTGTTTGGTGGCTCAGAACCATCAAAAAACGTTGAAATATAGTTCAAATTCAATAAAAATCGACAAAAATACAGTTTCTAGCTAAAATTTGATGGTTTCGTTGCACTTTCCGAGCCCGTAGGGTATCTGAGTGGCTTAAAAGTACAAGAAAACACTTCAAAAGTGACGTTTCTGAAGAATTTTAACAGTTTTCTTGTATCTACGAACGCCAGAATGCACAAAATTGACCTAAACGTCTCCTTTTCCTATTCTGAGTCGATTCTGCATGCTTTAAGTGTGTTTGGTGGCTCAGAACCATCAAAAAACGTTGAAATATAGTTCAAATTCAATAAAAATCGACAAAAATACAGTTTCTAGCTAAAATTTGATGGTTTCGTTGCACTTTCCGAGCCCGTAGGGTATCTGAGTGGCTTAAAAGTACAAGACAACACTTCAAAAGTGACGTTTCTGAAGAATTTTAACAGCTTTCTTGTATCTACGAACGCCAGAATGCATAAAATTGACCTAAACGTCTCCTTTTCCTATTCTGAGTCGATTCTGCATGCTTTAAGTGTGTTTGGTGGCTCAGAACCATCAAAAAACGTTGAAATATAGTTCAAATTCAATACAAATCGACAAAAATACAGTTTCTAGCTAAAATTTGATGGTTTCGTTGCACTTTCCGAGCCCGTAGGGTATCTGAGTGGCTTAAAAGTACAAGAAAACACTTCAAAAGTGACGTTTCTGAAGAATTTTAACAGTTTCCTTGTATCTACGAACGCCAGAAAGCATAAAATTGACCTAAACGTCTCCTTTTCCTATTCTGAGTCGATTCTGCATGCTTTAAGTGTGTTTGGTGGCTCAGAACCATCAAAAAACGTTGAAATACAGTTCAAATTCAATAAAAATCGACAAAAATACAGTTTCTAGCTAAAATTTGATGGTTTCGTTGCACTTTCCGAGCCCGTAGGGTATCTGAGTGGCTTAAAAGTACAAGAAAACACTTCAAAAGTGACGTTTCTGAAGAATTTTAACAGTTTTCTTGTATCTACGAACGCCAGAATGCATAAAATTGACCTAAACGTCTCCTTTTCCTATTCTGAGTCGATTCTGCATGCTTTAAGTGTGTTTGGTGGCTCAGAACCATCAAAAAACGTTGAAATATAGTTCAAATTCAATAAAAATCGACAAAAATACAGTTTCTAGCTAAAATTTGATGGTTTCGTTGCACTTTCCGAGCCCGTAGGGTATCTGAGTGGCTTAAAAGTACAAGAAAACACTTCAAAAGTGACGTTTCTGAAGAATTTTAACAGTTTTCTTGTATCTACGAACGCCAGAATGCATAAAATCGACCTAAACGTCTCCTTTTCCTATTCTGAGTCGATTCTGCATGCTTTAAGTGTGTTTGGTGGCTCAGAACCATCAAAAAACGTTGAAATATAGTTCAAATTCAATAAAAATCGACAAAAATACAGTTTCTAGCTAAAATTTGATGGTTTCGTTGCACTTTCCGAGCCCGTAGAGTATCTGAGTGGCTTAAAAGTACAAGAAAACACTTCAAAAGTGACGTTTCTGAAGAATTTTAACAGTTTTCTTGTATCTACGAACGCCAGAATGCATAAAATTGACCTAAACGTCTCCTTTTCCTATTCTGAGTCGATTCTGCATGCTTTAAGTGTGTTTGGTGGCTCAGAACCATCAAAAAACGTTGAAATATAGTTCAAATTCAATAAAAATCGACAAAAATACAGTTTCTAGCTAAAATTTGATGGTTTCGTTGCACTTTCCGAACCCGTAGGGTATCTGAGTGGCTTAAAAGTACAAGAAAACACTTCAAAAGTGACGTTTCTGAAGAATTTTAACAGTTTTCTTGTATCTACGAACGCCAGAATGCATAAAATTGACCTAAACGTCTCCTTTTCCTATTCTGAGTCGATTCTGCATGCTTTAAGTGTGTTTGGTGGCTCAGAACCATCAAAAAACGTTGAAATATAGTTCAAATTCAATAAAAATCGACAAAAATACAGTTTCTAGCTAAAATTTGATGGTTTCGTTGCACTTTCCGAGCCCGTTGGGTATCTGAGTGGCTTAAAAGTACAAGAAAACACTTCAAAAGTGACGTTTCTGAAGAATTTTAACAGTTTTCTTGTATCTAATAATGCATCATATTAGACAAAAGGATAAGTTTCATAAGTTGTATAAAAAGTATAAATCGGATTACTATTACCACTTATTTAAGCAACAGAGATCTCTTTGTAAACAACTTGCAGATGCTGCTTATAAAAACTATATTTCTAATATTCAGAGCTGTATCTCTAATGATCCTAAAGCTTTTTGGTCATTCATTCAAAATAAAAAGGGTGGTACGAGAATTCCTTGCTTCATGAGATATAAAGATTCAGATCTGTCCTCGCCCACTGATATAGTTGATGCTTTTGGGGAATTTTTTGATAGCGTGTATATTAATTCTGATCCTTTATATGCTGATAGCTTAATAAGTGATATTGCTCCGCAACTAAATGTTTCTGTTGACTCTGTTACTGAGGAGGATATTCTATTTGCATTGAAAAAGTCAAAAGACACCATGACTGCAGGACCTGATGGTATACCCAGTTTTTTATTGCGTGACTGTGCATGTCTTTTTGTTTCACCTCTTCTAAAATTATTTAATCTTATATTGCAAAAGAGTACTATGCCCGCTCTTTGGAAGCAAACATGCATTTGTCCTGTGTATAAATCAGGTGATGTCACTGAGATTAAAAATTATCGTCCCATAAGCCTGTTGTGCAACTTTGCGAAGATTTTCGAGACAATTTTGTATAAACATATTTATTCTAGAGTTAGTCCTTTCATTAATTCCTGTCAGCATGGTTTCGTTCAAAAAAGATCAACTGTCACTAATTTAGGTTGTTTTGCACAATATGTTTCAGAAATAATTGACAATAGAGGTCAAGTGGATTCAATTTATATGGACATAAGCAAAGCTTTTGATCAGATTGATCACTTTATATTACTGAGTAAATTAAAAGCGTATGGGTTTTCTGATCAACTGATTTCATTTTTTCGTGAATATCTTACCAAAAGGGAACAAAGAGTACGATATCGAAATTTTTACTCGAGTCCAATTTATCCAACATCCGGAGTACCCCAAGGATCCAACTTGGGACCACTCTTGTTTCTTATTTTTATCAATGATATCACAGTTGAGGTATCTTGTAAAGCACTACTTTTCGCTGACGACTTGAAATTATTTTTAGAAATTAAAAGTGAAGAAGACTGCATGACACTTCAGAATAATATAAAGCACATTGCAGAATATTGTAAAAAAAACTGTTTAACTCTTAATAAAGATAAATGTTATATAGTCACTTACACCAAAAGACACGAACCTATAAGTTTTTCTTATGAAGTTACCGGCAAGAGTTTGGTCAGGAAGGAGAGTATAAGAGATCTAGGTGTCATATTTGACTCAAGGTTTATGTTTGTGGAACATATGTATGACATAATAGCAAAAGCATTTAAATTCTACGGTTTTGTGTATAGAAATTGTAATGAATTCACCAGCTTAAGAGCTCTTAACAATTTATATTTTACAATGATAAGATCGCGACTTGAATATGCGTGTATAATATGGTATCCATTATGTAATACTCATATCACTCATCTGGAAACCGTACAGCGTAAATACCTAAAATTCTTGTGTTACCGTTTGGATGGGTTCTATCCTGAAAGAGGCATTGATCATCTAAATTTATTGAATCGATTTGGGTTTACATCATTAGAAGTAAGAAGAATTGTTGCTGTAGTAAAGTTTTCATATAATTTAATGCACAATAAGATAGATTGTCCTGAGTTATTAAGTAAACTTTTATTTATAGTTCCTCGTAGCAACTCCCGTAACAGAATTATTATTTATGGTCAGAATTACAGAACAAATGTACTACGTAAATCTCCTGTAACCCTTATGACTGATGCTTGTAACAAAATATCGAAGGATTGTGACTTGTGGGCAGATTCACTAATTAGTATAATCAAAGTAGTTCTAAGATATTTTAAATATAATTAGGGCTTAAATTTTACTTTGTATTGTGGATATAATGCTTTATTTTTTTAATGGTGCTCTATTACAGTAATGATGTGTTATTATTAATTTTTGCATATTGTAGGAATTTATGTTTTTTTTTTTTTTTTTTTTTTTTTCTATATTACAGTTAAACAATGTTTTAGATAATGTTATATTAAGTTAATTTCCATGTAATTGGGTGTAACCTGTTTGGAAATAAATCATATCATATCTACGAACGCCAGAATGCATAAAATTGACCTAAACGTCTCCTTTTCCTATTCTGAGTCGATTCTGCATGCTTTAAGTGTGTTTGGTGGCTCAGAACCATCAAAAAACGTTGAAATATAGTTCAAATTCAATAAAAATCGACAAAAATACAGTTTCTAGCTAAAATTTGATGGTTTCGTTGCACTTTCCGAGCCCGTAGGGTATCTGATTGGCTTAAAAGTACAAGAAAACACTTCAAAAGTGACGTTTCTGAAGAATTTTAACAGTTTTCTTGTATCTACGAACGCCAGAATGCATAAAATTGACCTAAACGTCTCCTTTTCCTATTCTGAGTCGATTCTGCATGCTTTAAGTGTGTTTGGTGGCTGAGAACCATCAAAAAACGTTGAAATATAGTTCAAATTCAATAAAAATCGACAAAAATACAGTTTCTAGCTAAAATTTGATGGTTTCGTTGCACTTTCCGAGCCCGTAGGGTATCTGAGTGGCTTAAAAGTACAAGAAAACACTTCAAAAGTGACGTTTCTGAAGAATTTTAACAGTTTTCTTGTATCTACGAACGCTAGAATGCATAAAATTGACCTAAACGTCTCCTTTTCCTATTCTGAGTCGATTCTGCATGCTTTAAGTGTGTTTGGTGGCTCAGAACCATCAAAAAACGTTGAAATATAGTTCAAATTCAATAAAAATCGACAAAAATACAGTTTCTAGCTAAAATTTGATGGTTTCGTTGCACTTTCCGAGCCCGTTGGGTATCTGAGTGGCTTAAATGTACAAGAAAACACTTCAAAAGTGACGTTTCTGAAGAATTTTAACAGTTTTCTTGTATCTACGAACGCCAGAATGCATAAAATTGACCTAAACGTCTCCTTTTCCTATTCTGAGTCGATTCTGCATGCTTTAAGTGTGTTTGGTGGCTCAGAACCATCAAAAAACGTTGAAATATAGTTCAAATTCAATAAAAATCGACAAAAATACAGTTTCTAGCTAAAATTTGATGGTTTCGTTGCACTTTCCGAGCCCGTAGGGTATCTGAGTGGCTTAAAAGTACAAGAAAACACTTCAAAAGTGACGTTTCTGAAGAATTTTAACAGTTTTCTTGTATCTACGAACGCCAGAATGCACAAAATTGACCTAAACGTCTCCTTTTCCTATTCTGAGTCGATTCTGCATGCTTTAAGTGTGTTTGGTGGCTCAGAACCATCAAAAAACGTTGAAATATAGTTCAAATTCAATAAAAATCGACAAAAATACAGTTTCTAGCTAAAATTTGATGGTTTCGTTGCACTTTCCGAGCCCATAGGGTATCTGAGTGGCTTAAAAGTACAAGACAACACTTCAAAAGTGACGTTTCTGAAGAATTTTAACAGCTTTCTTGTATCAACGAACGCCAGAATGCATAAAATTGACCTAAACGTCTCCTTTTCCTATTCTGACTCGATTCTGCATGCTTTAAGTGTGTTTGGTGGCTCAGAACCATCAAAAAACGTTGAAATATAGTTCAAATTCAATAAAAATCTACAAAAATACAGTTTCTAGCTAAAATTTGATGGTTTCGTTGCACTTTCCGAGCCCGTAGGGTATCTGAGTGGCTTAAAAGTACAAGAAAATACTTCAAAAGTGACGTTTCTGAAGAATTTTGACAGTTTTCTTGTATCTACGAACGCCAGAATGCATAAAATTGACCTAAACGTCTCCTTTTCCTATTCTGAGTCGATTCTGCATGCTTTAAGTGTGTTTGGTGGCTCAGAACCATCAAAAAACGTTGAAATATAGTTCAAATTCAATAAAAATCGACAAAAATACAGTTTCTAGCTAAAATTTGATGGTTTCGTTGCACTTTCCGAGCCCGTAGGGTATCTGAGTGGCTTAAAAGTACAAGAAAACACTTCAAAAGTGACGTTTCTGAAGAATTTTAACAGTTTTCTTGTATCTACGAACGCCAGAAAGCATAAAATTGACCTAAACGTCTCCTTTTCAAATTCAATAAAAATCGACAAAAATACAGTTTCTAGCTAAAATTTGATGGTTTCGTTGCACTTTCCGAGCCCGTAGGGTATCTGAGTGGCTTAAAAGTACAAGAAAACACTTCAAAAGTGACGTTTCTGAAGAATTTTAACAGTTTTCTTGTATCTACGAACGCCAGAATGCATAAAATTGACCTAAACGTCTCCTTTTCCTATTCTGAGTCGATTCTGCATGCTTTAAGTGTGTTTGGTGGCTCAGAACCATCAAAAAAACGTTGAAATATAGTTCAAATTCAATAAAAATCGACAAAAATACAGTTTCTAGCTAAAATTTGATGGTTTCGTTGCACTTTCCGAGCCCGTAGGGTATCTGAGTGGCTTAAAAGTACAAGAAAACACTTCAAAAGTGACGTTTCTGAAGAATTTTAACAGTTTTCTTGTATCTACGAACGCCAGAATGCATAAAATTGACCTAAACGTCTCCTTTTCCTATTCTGAGTCGATTCTGCATGCTTTAAGTGTGTTTGGTGGCTCAGAACCATCAAAAAACGTTGAAATATAGTTCAAATTCAATAAAAATCGACAAAAATACAGTTTCTAGCTAAAATTTGATGGTTTCGTTGCACTTTCCGAGCCCGTAGAGTATCTGAGTGGCTTAAAAGTACAAGAAAACACTTCAAAAGTGACGTTTCTGAAGAATTTTAACAGTTTTCTTGTATCTACGAACGCCAGAATGCATAAAATTGACCTAAACGTCTCCTTTTCCTATTCTGAGTCGATTCTGCATGCTTTAAGTGTGTTTGGTGGCTCAGAACCATCAAAAAACGTTGAAATATAGTTCAAATTCAATAAAAATCGACAAAAATACAGTTTCTAGCTAAAATTTGATGGTTTCGTTGCACTTTCCGAACCCGTAGGGTATCTGAGTGGCTTAAAAGTACAAGAAAACACTTCAAAAGTGACGTTTCTGAAGAATTTTAACAGTTTTCTTGTATCTACGAACGCCAGAATGCATAAAATTGACCTAAACGTCTCCTTTTCCTATTCTGAGTCGATTCTGCATGCTTTAAGTGTGTTTGGTGGCTCAGAACCATCAAAAAACGTTGAAATATAGTTCAAATTCAATAAAAATCGACAAAAATACAGTTTCTAGCTAAAATTTGATGGTTTCGTTGCACTTTCCGAGCCCGTTGGGTATCTGAGTGGCTTAAAAGTACAAGAAAACACTTCAAAAGTGACGTTTCTGAAGAATTTTAACAGTTTTCTTGTATCTACGAACGCCAGAATGCATAAAATTGACCTAAACCTCTCCTTTTCCTATTCTGAGTCGATTCTGCATGCTTTAAGTGTGTTTGGTGGCTCAGAACCATCAAAAAACGTTGAAATATAGTTCAAATTCAATAAAAATCGACAAAAATACAGTTTCTAGCTAAAATTTGATGGTTTCGTTGCACTTTCCGAGCCCGTAGGGTATCTGAGTGGCTTAAAAGTACAAGAAAACACTTCAAAAGTGACGTTTCTGAAGAATTTTAACAGTTTTCTTGTATCTACGAACGCCAGAATGCATAAAATTGACCTAAAAGTCTCCTTTTCCTATTCTGAGTCGATTCTGCATGCTTTAAGTGTGTTTGGTGGCTCAGAACCATCAAAAAACGTTGAAATATAGTTCAAATTCAATAAAAATCGACAAAAATACAGTTTCTAGCTAAAATTTGATGGTTTCGTTGCACTTTCCGAGCCCGTAGGGTATCTGAGTGGCTTAAAAGTACAAGAAAACACTTCAAAAGTGACGTTTCTGAAGAATTTTAACAGTTTTCTTGTATCTACGAACGC